CTATCCATATTTTACAAAATTCTTGCATTTCTTTTATTTTAAATATTTCTTATGAAACTTGAAATTATATTTTAAATTGTTATCCATGAGCATGATAAATTTTTTATTTACTAATTCCTGTTAAAAAATTATATAATTTTCGATAATTATTTTGTATTTCTTTTCTTGAAAATATTATCGATACAATTCGATACAATCTCTTTATAGAAAAATATAAAAAATCTATAGCTGAAAATCAGCACACCTAAAGTTGTTTTTTTGAAAAGCAGTTTAATAAACTTAATTTTTTAACATTAAATATGAGTATAATTTTACTTTTTGTTTTAATTTTAAACTTTATTTAATGTCTTTATTTAAATGTTCGTATATAAATGTCAATATTTTAAATAAAATTATTGTATTTATAAAGGAAATATAGTTTATTCCAAAAATTAATTGAATAAGATGCTTCATATTTTTTAGCGGTAATGTATCCAATATCATTTTTAACATCTTTTTTAATTATTTGTTCATCAGTTTTATTAATTAGGAACTTATTTAAATACAAATAAAATAAACAAATTATTATATTGAAAGCATATTTTAATTATTAGTTTTATAATATACAAACAAAAGACAGAAATTAAAGTTGATGCTCCGAAGTGATGTGTTGAAAGATTTTGCAAAACTTGTTAAAAATTAAGCCTCGTCACTGCGCTCTTTCAGCCTAAATGTGGATATCTCCGTCGAAAAGACTTCGCCGTTGCGACGATATTATTATAGTAAGAGATTTCGTTCATTCGCAGAATAAAATGCAAACGCGACTCCTTTTTCGTTTTTGGCGATCGGTTTTAGTCTATCATCGAGGACGCATCTTATCATTCCTGGGTTGGTGGCATGAATAGCGTGCATCAGACCCTTCAAAAATTACATTGGAGAGAGGCCTCAAATTCCGTTTTATACACATCTCTTTCATTGTTTCTTTTATACTGATTCCTCTCTTCTTTTCCCATTTACTATATTTTTAGTCGTTACGAGAAGATTATGCTCTAGAGTAGACCTCCGTGCGCAATCGTTTGGAATGTTTCCTTCTCGCTATAGAATTCTCGCGATAAAATCACGTGCAACATGGGAAACGTCACGAGAGAATTTTTCTGCTTTTCGCAGAATTTTTTTCTCGATTGCAATCGCTACGGGAATATAAGTCAAAGGCAGGACGCGAATAACTTTGTTAAATCGACATTTCCCTGTCATTAAGACTTTCTCGCAGTACGTTTCGCCTTCCGTTTTTTCGTATCACTTTCCTTCCATCAGTATCGAGAATTAACGAATTGTACCAGTGACTTATTTTTTTTCGTGCCCAAGGAACGTGAGAGGATGTGATGAAGATGTGGGTGTTGAACGAGCGTTAATTAAATTGTGATGCCACCATATCTCGCGGCACTGCTGAGTCACGGGGCTCGGCACGCGGCCAAGTTTGTGATTTTATAAATACTTAAGGACGTTTACGACGTGAGATGAGAAAGATCGCGACGAGACAAAGGAAAACAGCAAAAATTGATTAGAACGAAGAGAAATGAATAGATAGAGAAAGAAGAAGAGAGAACGAGAAAAAGAGAAAGCTTACCTATCATCTGTCGTAAGATCGTCAGCATGTATACCTCTAGATCGTAAGGCCGTAGTTTATTAGCGTATAGGATAGGCTAGGGTTCGACCCTGTATAGGAATCTCTTTGTTGATACTTATTACTATGAAAACCCGATGAGGTTGCTCGCAGGGACGACAAGAGCCGCCTCGAAGAGCGTTACGACTGCTGCAAATCGAAGGTGTGGAAATTTACACGAGCGAGTGTAAAAGCGATAAGGGGTGCGGAGACGCGGTGCAATAGCGAGGCTCGCGATTAATTGAATAAGTACACGCGAGTCGAATGCATGCGTGAAATAATGGAATGAGAGAACGAACGAATGAATGAGTGAGAGAGAGAGAGAGAGAGAGAGAGAGAGAGAGAGAGAGAGAGAGAGAGAGAGTGAAGAGAGAAAGAGAGAGAGAAAGAATGTATGGAAGTAAAAAATGATCGTTGAAGAATGCATATTTTCTCGACGTATGCGTACGTGTAGATCATTGTAAATTTTCTTTGTTCAAATAATATTTATTGCGTCGTGAGCGAGCCAACGCGTCATTTTACGTGTAAAATATTGTCATTATTATCACTCGAATTATCGCGATTACTGTGTATATTGATTATATAATTACGATTATTATATGGCGATGATGCGTGGCGTGTGATGAGTGCAGTGATAAATGCGGAGCATAGGGCGCGAGCGGATTAGATGGAAAGGCGAATATGACAATGATGAGAGTAACAGAGAACAAGAGACTGTGTGTACATGTGCGTGCATGCGTACGTAGTATGGGTGTGTGTGTGTGTGTGTGTGTGTGTGTGTGTGTGTGTGTGTGTGTGTGTGTGCGTGCGTGCGTGCGTGCGTGCGTGCGTGCGTGCGTGCGTGCGTGCGTGCGTGTGCGTGTGCGTGCGTGCGTGTGTGGGTGTGTGTTTGTTTGTGTCGAGTGAGGGCAAAGGATAGAAAGATAGAGTAACAGTCTGAGGACAAGAAAGAATGCTTCCGAGAGAATGACAGAAGCAGGCCGGAAAAGATGGAGCAGCTGCGTGCGGCCCTCAACAACGAAGGCCGGAAAAGAACGGAACATAACTTGTATACGTATTTCTTGTAAACTCTAATTCTTCCATCGCGGACTTTAAAAGTATTTATCGACATAATAATATTAATATTATTATATTGTAATTATATACGCGCGCGACTGCTGAGAGTGTGATGAACGTAACGCGAGACGATTACGTGGCTGCGACCAACACGACATACATGTACACTTATTTACACACACATACACAACACGCGGGCACGCATACGTACACACGTGAAAATACGCGTACACTGTCGCAGTAACACTCGAGGAAAGGAACAGCCAGCCGTGCGAATGATACGCTCGAAACGTACCTACCTACTTACAAACACGCAACCACAAAGATATGCATCATGTATACGCGATTCTTGAAACCATTTTACCAGATTTGTCATTATTTAATTATTTCGGTTGTATTTTAAAATGCAATTAAAGCTCAAATAAATATATATGTTATAAACTAAGAATGTACGTTTGTCTCGTGTGTGTTTATTTCTTGCCTGTCGTCCAAAGATTGAGTAATAATTTACTAAGAACTCGACGTAATCCAGTATAAATGATATTATATCTTTTCGAAAATGTTTTATGTAGAAGATGTTATTAATTTTCTTATATAAATATTATAAATATATATTTTTTATTTCAGCATATGATCATTAATTTAAATTTATGCAATGCCTTTTTGTGAAAATCGCGAGGGAACGAGTCACAGTTAGTAGACTCTCCCGGTTGATAACTCAAGGAAATAACTATTCGAGAAGCGATTCGAGCAACTTGCAATCGACCGTTAAACATTTTACATATTTCAGGAAACCGGCGCCGTCGTAAATCTCCATTAATTCTTATTAATTTAAACGATGTACCTATATACAGCGTATATAAACGTCTATTTAAAAAGGTAAGTCTATTTAAAAAGGTAACGTCTATTTAAAATAATTTGTCACCATGGCCTGTCTTCACTCTTTAAATAAGTGGTTGACGATTCAACCATTAAGTGAACTAATAACGCGGATTTGCATTATCAACGCGATCGTTAAGCATGAAACTATTTTTCGTTTTCTTTCAAAGAAAATAGAATGCCTGAATTAATTAGAAATATTAGTATCCATCTCTTCGCTTTGTATGTGGCTTATCTCTTCTTCTTCTCGATGATATGGTACTCAAATTTACGTTTGTGAACGCTAAAGAATGAGAGAGAAAGAGAAAGAGATGGAGAAGAAGGATAGGAGGAAAGGAGAAAGGGAGAAAGAGATGGAATCCTTAATATAGCAGGCAAGTCCAGAGTCCGCGTATACACGCTCGCTAATTCAGTGCCATACAATACCATATCGAATGTATCCGCATCAGTATCAAACTCACCCCCGCGTATGTTAGCCGCAAAGAATAGACATGGTCGGCGGATAAACTAGATAAACCGGTGACTCTGTATACCACATTACGAGCGCACGATTTCGCTTATCAGCCGGCAGACGTTTCGCGAGATATCATCTTCCTCAAGGCCGCCGCTCGCCTTCGGACCCTTCGTTGATTTCAACGAATTCCCCGATCATCTCACTCGCCCACCCCTCGTTTCTCTCGCGTCGACTCCTCACCTACACTGGCTGGATTCGCGGGTCGTCTTTACTTCTTCCTCTTTTTTTTTTCGCCATTTGCGATGCATAATGATGACTTCGAGTCGCCGGATGGTGGTCGCCCAGCCAGCAAATCACGGTGAAGGTCGATCCGCTGAAGGAGCCGAAGGGAGAACGGCGACAGAGGGGAACACATCGCGAGAGAGACAGGGGCAAAGAAGTGGGAGGGAAGGAGCTGTGTACAGAAACCGGTCGGCCACTACTCGTCCTCTTCATAAGAGATACGCCGCATGCCGCAGATACGCGGATACTTTTATTTT